ACCTTACACTGTCAAACTTGTTTTTAGGGGTTCAAATTGGGGTGGGTGGGACATATTTCGGGGGTGGGGGGGATTGCACTTCAACTTGCCCAGGGCACCAAAATGGCTAGAGCCAGCACTGTTTGTCTGGGTCGTTTTCCTTGAAATCAGGACAGATGGCTTCATCTTACTTCCTGTTCAAAGGGAGTCATTCCTTTCCACTGTCACCACGTGCTTACAGAGTATTAAACTTCAAGAAAGATCCAATCTGCTGGCTTCCTTGCAAACCTTTGCTAATTTCATCATTTTATGTGTTCACATCTGACTTATTCCCCTCCTGTGAATTTTGCAAATAAACTGAATAGAAACGTTCAAATAACAACAAAGAGGCAACAACAGGAATCACTTCTGAACGATCTAAGCCGTGGCTCTAATTCCTATCAATAGCAGGACTTAATCTGGTTTTATGGAGGCTTTAACTCCATCTGCTGCACCATTGCGGAGAGATATAGAGGAGGTGGGGGTGACCTGGAATTTCMTTTGCAAAACCACCAGACAGCACAATTAATGACCGTTCTCTGCGCAGGAGCCTGGAATATAAAGCCAAATGAGTCTGGCACAAAGCTGGGGACGAGAAAAACAACAAAAAAAAAGGTATAATCCCTGAGCTGCTAACGGTGTCACTTAAGGATTAGAGTAAAAAAAAATACAACGCAAAACCTGTGGACAAGTCTTTCCAATCATTTCACCAACACTGATTGTGCTCCAGTTGTGAGCCAGAATAAAAGCAACTCTGATCTAAACTTCAGATAGGCTCATATCAGCTCCCTGCCGCCGGTCCGGACGGATAAATTGAAAAGGTAAAAGCTCCAGGCGGCAGCCGGGAAGATACAATATTTTCTGAAGCGAGGAGAGGGGAAAAAAGAGAGGAGTGACCTGCTGGATTATTGGAAAAGATTCTGAGCGCTCCGCGGATGATGAGGGTTAAGCTTTGGATCTGATGGACTGGGCGGAGGAGGAGGAGGGGTGCGCGCGCTCTGATCGGACAATTAGTGCGTAAAAGCCCAATCAAACCCGCCAAAAACAGGAAGAGTCCTCTCTTACCTGTGAATTCAGATGTTAAACGTCCAGGAGAATAATCCAAACAGAAGTGAGCTGGTCGGAGCAACACTTCTTAACTCAATGAAAGATGAGCTTCGCGCTCGATTCCGGGCAGATCCACGCGCGGTCCGGTGTAATCCCCGGTGTGGACGGAGAGAAGTTTGCTGGTAAATCCTTTCCCCGAAACAAACAAACCAATAATAAATACAGTAACGCGACTGTGCAGCGGAGCCCGCCGGAGAGGAGGACGCAGGAGGCCGGGTTGGAGAGCAGTTCAGCACCGCGGCGGAGGGGACAGCTCCGAGCTGCGCAGAGATCTCACCTCGTGTGTGCGCCACCGAGGCAGGAGCCACCAGCCCCAACCTCACCCGCTGCTGCCTCGGTCCCGGCCGGATTTACATACGACCAACCAGGGGAGGGGAGGGGAGGGGGGAGCCGAGCGGGGCGCGAGCCACTCACGAACGAGCCGTAGGAGCCGCGGCGGCGGAGCGAGGGGCGGAGTGTGGAGCGGCTCGGTCCCCCCGGTGCCCCGAACGGACCGGAGAGAGACGGAGCTCCTGTTTTTACACACACACACACACACACACACACACACACACACACACACA